CCCCCCCCCCCCCCCCCCCCCCCCCCCCCCCCCCCCCGCAGGCCATCATTGGAGCCTCCAGCCCCCATCCCTGCTGCCTCAGGGAAGCTCTGCTTCCTTGGTCAAAGCTGGAGAAACATTGTGGGGGAGGGAGGCATCACACCTTCCCAGGATCCCCCAAGGTCAGTCTCCAGAGCAGCCAGGATTTGATCCTCCCCCCAACCCCCGTACATGGAGGGTAAGTTGCAGCCATTGATTCTGCAGTGCAGAAGTTATTTTTAGCTGGTCTTAGCATCAGCTTCTCTTGGATGCCTGGCCACACTCTTCTTCCAGCCTCTCTGCTTAGAAGCTGGGAAGGAACACCCCCCCGGGGGTCCCCCACCAGGCCTCCCTCCTCCCTCAGTACATTTCCCTCACCCAGTCTCAGCATCTCCTCTCTGCTCTACAGTGGTGGGCAGGGGCCCCCACGAGGAGGCAGAGCGCTCAGACTCCCCTGGGTTGCTCTCCTGGCCACCACCCGTACTCACTGTCCAGGCAGGGCTCACACACAGTCTGGTTGGCTCCGCAGGGCTGGGCCACGCCCTCCCCCACATTGCAGGCTTTGCAGCACTCGCCACTGTGGGTGTACAGGCCTGTGGGACATGGCTCCTGGGCACCTCCGAGGGACACCTAGGTTGGGGGAGATCAGAGGGTCAGAATGGCAAGAGAAAGGCGGGTGTCTTCCAAGGGGGGGATCAAACGGCCCCCTCCTAATGCTTTCTATTGGAACCACCTGGGCTGGGATGAGCTCACCAGGGAAGCATTAGGCACATCAAAGCTGGCGGGAAGGAAGGCAGTAGGGGACAACGCACCCCTACAGGCTGCTGGAGTGTGAGGTCAGAGCCTGGGATACGAACCTTCTGCAAAGTTCACTTTGGGGTTACAGCCCCACCTGGAATCCTAAGGACACACCACATGGGGAAGGTGGCTGGAGACTCAATGGAGGGCCTTCCGGTAGGGTGTCATGGATGACTGGACAGGTTGCAGCTTGCACAGAAACCCCAGCCATGGGGGTGGGGCAGGGGGAGCAGAGCTGAAATCTGGCCCAGACTCTACTTGCTAAGCTTCACACCTGCAAGGCTGCATTTACCCAGAGGAGGACCTTTTTCTAACAAAGGCTAGAAACACCTTCCTCAGGGTCTGAACTCCACATATTAAATATCAAAGGGGAGGTGTTTGAGCACAAGAGCAGAAGCCAGAGGTCTAGGGTCTTGGGTTCAAATCCTAACTCTGTACTAGGGAGTTTTGGCCTGGCCGGATCTCCCTCTTGGAGTTATCATCTCTCCATAGATAGAGATGGTGACAGCTTGGTGCCAGGGCAAAGGACCAGCTGACGGGTAGGAGTCTGGCGCCAAGATACAGAGAAAAGGATGCCTGTCATCAATGAGACAGTGACTGCTCTCACCACCCAGCAGCCCTACCCCACCAGGGTTTGATTTCCAGCCAGCAGCCCTCCCCATCTCTATTCCTCCCATGTGGCCACTGGAAACAGAGCTGGAACTAGGGGAAAGGGGAGTCAGATTCCTGCCACTGAAGCATCTTTGCTCATGGATGGAACAATTTAGCACTACACTCCCTAGGGGGAGGGGCTGCTGGAGGCTTGCTTTAAATTTCTGTTACTTTAAAACAAAATAAAAAAAGCAACTTATTCCAATAAAATTCCAAAGCCTGCTTTGCTGGCTCCAGACTGGGCAGCCTCCATTTGATGCTGAGAAGCATCGGCTCTTGGATCATGGGACCAGAGGGGAGCTTTACAAGGTCATTTGGGGCATTCCTCTGCTTCCGTGTTGGTCAGATCAAGGTCAAGAAACTCCATGACCTGCAGTCTTTTAAGACATCCTTTGGTCTCACAAGGGTTTGGTAGGAAAGGAAAGAGAAGAGGCAGAGGATGCACAAGCTAATCAGCCTAAGAGGTAGCCATGGTCCCCAGGAGTCTGGCAGTGAGGACACAGGCAGCAGAGAAGGGGACTCATGGGTGCTGCCACCATCTTTCCCCAGGTGTCAGCAGGGGAACAACTGCAGACCTGGAGTCTGGGGTAAGATGCAGGCTCCAGAACAGTCTGTTGTGATTTCATTTCATTGCTTAGGGCTCTGCTTAAATGTCACTTTCTTGAGGAAGAAATGGTTCCATTGGCCCCACACACCTCTCACATGAGGCAGAGCTGCCTTGCTCACTGTGACACTTCACAGACTCCTTTGCTAAACCACCGGCTTCAGGGGATAAGTTTATCCCAGTGCCTGACACAGCTCCTGGCACATTTATAGGTACCCAGTGTATATGTTTATGGAATATAAGAATATGAAAATATCATTTGACTTCAATTCACTAGCACTCGGGGGGAATTCTCAATGGCTGAGTCCCCTCAGGGTTAAGGTTTCTGCTGTAATCACCTGAAGTTTTTCATCCTCACAGTAGCAGCTGCACACTTCTTTGTGTCAGGAGCAAACCTTTATGGTTTCCCCAGGACTTGGGGACTCGATAGCTATTTACACCAGCAGTTATTCTAGGCTTTGGTGCCCATGATGCTCTTTGTGTTCTTTATCCCAAATTGCCACACTTTTGTCTTTTTGAGTTCCCCTGTCAGCTTTTTCATAGTTTTTTTTTTCTTCCTATCTCTTCCCTTCCTGACAAGGTATCAATTGCACTCCTAGCAGCTACCAGGATGTGACCTGAAACAGCTCCTTCCCACAGGATCCTAACTTGTTAGGCCTAATTGAATTTGTAGAGTCCCTCCACAGGCCTGGGGGAAAAGGTGTGCAGGAGGAACTGAGCAGGGAAGGGCAGTTCTGTGAGCCAAATGTGTGAGCTGTAGGGCCTCCCTCCTCTGCTGTCTCCACGGCTCTGAATCCTAGCTTGTCACTTAGGGGCTTTGTGACAAGGGACAGGTTTTGAATTTCTCTGTGCCTCTGTTTCCACACCGTTTGGTAATCATGACAGCACCCGCCTCATGGGTTGCTGCAAGTAGGAAATGATGAGGTGTCAGTACACTTTGGGACCCCTCTTTTCTCTTTTTGAATGTCTTTCTTGCTGCCTTTTGTAGCCTCTGGCTGTGTTTCAGTTAATTGAGGCCAGTAGGGACCTGGGCTCTGGATAGCTGAGAGAGATCTGTCTATGGTACTTGTGGGTGGTGTGTTAGCTTAAGACAAGCCTTTCTTCCAAGAAGCCTGCTCTCCCTATACTTGGTACTCTCTGTCCTCTCAAGACTTTGGAATGGGCCGCGGGGGTGTGTGTGTGTGTGTGTACATAATTAGTGGTTATGTGTTTCCTGTGCTTGTTTTATGTTCCCTATATCATAAAATCCTAGATCTGCTACTTATAGCTCTGTGACTCTGGGTACATTACTTAATCTCCCTAATCTGGGCTTTCCTATCTAAAACACTGGGTTCATGACTACAGCACAGGGTTGCTGAAACATGCTGAAACAATGTATGCAAATATGTCTAGTATATGGTGGGAATTCAGTAAATGCTCCTTATCAAAGAAATAGCTTAGCCAAGCACATTGACACCTGCTTGTATTCCCAGTGGCTTGGGAGGCTGAGGCAAGAGGATTGTGAGTTCAAAGCCAGCCTCAGCAATTTAGTGAGGCCCTAAGCAACTCAGTGAGACCCTGTCTCTAAATAAAATATTAGAAAGGGCTGGGGATGTGGCTCAGTGGTTAATTGCCCCTAGGTTCAATCCCTGGTATCAAAAAAAAAAAAAAAAAAGAAAGAGAAAAGAAAAAGAAAAAGGAAATTAAAAAAGAAACAAAAATCTTATTTTAGTGAGTTGAGTTGCTGACCCTAGGCAGGACACAGTAGGTGGGGGTGTTTCCCAAGCAGGGTGGGGGTGACTAGAGCTAAGACCACGTGCTCCAAAGTCAGATCCAAAATGATTGATTAAAATGACGGACACATTTGTCTGCAATTTGTTTTATGACCCTTATTCATTTCAGAGTTGATGGAAAGATTTACCATTATCCAGAATGTATACAACCTTTCATTTCTGCCATTTCAGGGCATTTTTTTTAAAAAAGATTTATTTCTTAGTTCTAGGTGGACACAATGTCTTTACTTTATATTTATGTGGTGCTGAGGATCGAACCCAGTGCCTCATGCATGCTAGGTGAGCACTCTACCACTGAGCCACAACCCCAGTCCCCATGTCAGGGCTTTTGATAACTAAGTTGGAAGTGCCCTTAGATGAATTGGCTTTTAAGAACCTTAATTTTAAAAATTGGATTAAGAGGAAACACAAGAAAACTGTTAAAAGTATATGCATGCCACACCTGTCATCCCAATGGCTGAGACAGGAGGATCGCAAGTTCAAAGTCAGCCTCAGCAAATTTGCTAAGGCTCTAAGCAACTCAGTGAGACCCTGTCTCTAAATAAAATACAAAATAGGGCTGGGGATATGGCTCAGTGTTTGAGTTTCCCTGAGTTAAAAAAAAAAAAAAGTATATGGATGCTTCCTTGTGGTCAGTCCTAATCACCCAAGAGCTCCGCAGTCTAGTGGAGCATAGCTGCTGCCAGGTCTGGGAGAGGTTTTCAATATCTGGAGGTTCTGTAGAAGGGAGGCTCTGGCAGATGCCCCTCATCCTCTGTGCTAGTGGTTGAGCTGTGGGTGGTAGATAAGAGTTAATGGCCTAGGATGACGCTGTGCGGAGACTTGAGGGGGCAGGAGTGCTGCGTGGGGCTCTAAATTCGTGGCACTAAAGACTTAGAGGCTCTCCTCACTAACTGGGGGAGCCTGGTCTCGCCTGAAAGTCTGAGAGGTTCTGCTACCTCAACTGTAAAACGGAAACGACCAAATGTACCTTGCTGGCACCTTCTAAGGATTGAATAACGTAGGACAAAGTATCCAGGGCAGTGCGAGGCACGTAGTAGGCACTCAACACATTTTATTATCCCCACCTCCCCACCTGGACCACTAGGGAGGAAGGAGGCGCTTGAGCCAGACTGGGCTGGCACAGAGGGGTTGGCGTTATTTCTCTCCCAGAGTCGCCTCGCCACCCACCCTCCACCCGAGCCGGGTTACTCACGCCCGCTCATTTGCTGCGCTCCTTGCTGCATCCCTATTAGGCACATTAGCCAGCCCAGCGTCTCCAGTTACAGACGTCTGAATGACAAAGTGCCTCCATTACCGGCGCGGCCGGCCAGCAGACCCGCCGGGACGCGCTCTGGTTTCAGCACTCTCGCCACGGCCCAGGAAGAAACTCGGCTGGCCGCGGTGCGCAGAGCCCGCCCATACACAGCAGCCCGGCGTGGAGGCCAAGGAGACAGCCGCCGGGCCGCAGGTCCTGCGCGTGGTCCACCTTCTCAAGCCCCCAGGACTCCAGCTCCCCTCCCTCTGCGCCTCTTCTTTCCACCAGGGCACTTTCTCCAGCCCGGGTTCACATCCTGCGCCCTCACCCTTCGGAGATCCAGACTACAGGCCGCCCCAGTCCTTCCTCCCTGCCTTTCCACCTGCCGTCCCCGCCTTCGGACAAGAAACACAGCGGCGTTAGTCAGCAAAAGCGCCTACAGTCACTCCCTCATCCCCAGACAAAGCCACAGGTACTGACAGCTCCAGGTAACTGGGGCTGAGCTTTAGGAATAGGGCCAGAGCTGGAAGAGCATCTCTGTCCACCCACTACCACATTCCACCGCATGGGATGGTGTCAACCCTACCCAGCCATGAAACTCAGCTCTTAGGCAGAGCTGGGACTTCGGGCTGCCTCCTGAGAGGTGGGGGTATCAGGCGAAGAGGAGTCCAGCCATGACTCTAACCCAACTTCCTTTGAGATCTTGGTCAAGTCGTTTAAAGTCTCAGAGCCTCAGCCTCAGTAAAATGGGCACTTGGAGGTACAAGTGCTCAGATAAAAGATGAAGGTGGCAGGGAGAGTGAGGAAGACACTTTGATTGCCAACCTTCCAGGGCATTCAGTTCATGGCTACGCACCCTGTCACATCTCCTGAAGATCTTGTTAGAACTACCCTGAGGGCTCAGGTGCTCCTGAGGAGAAGTTGACAACCTTTGCCAAGTCAACGCCTCCAGACACAGTCGTCGGAGTCCCCCTCCTTGTTAGCGGCTCAGCGGTATCCAAAGCTGCGCAGGGCGCTGTTAGGATCCCGATCCAGCTGTGCTCAAGAACCCAAGAAACCAGGTGGGCGCGGCGCTGTAGTCTTGTAACTTAATGGAAATAGGGGTGCGGTGCGCAGCCCTAGGCGCGCTCACAGCTGCGGATGTCAATCCCCCGCCCCGCAGTGCCCCCTGCGGGCCACCTCCTGTCTGCGCAGCTGGGAACTGCGCGCTCCGGGACCGTCACCGCCTTGTGCTTCCCAGCACTCCGCACCCCAAGATGTGACCGCGGCCAGACCGCGGATAGATAAGGGGGATTACCTCTCCATCCCACCCAGTCCGGCACGCTGCTTCAAACTGCCTACGCGGTCGTCGGAGTCCGCCGGCTGCAGGGGAACGCGGGGAGCGGGATTGCCCAGACGCAGTGGGCGCTCCCTTCCCAGCCCAGGATACCCAGCCGCAATTCCCGTACTGGGCGAGGCCGCGGGAAAGAGCGCTGGAACACGCGGGAAATGTTCGTGCCTCTGCTCTTTTTCTTCCCACTGTCCGTCAGTGGGAAGGCAGCCCGCGACCACTTTAGAGTCCGTGCTCGCTTCTCCCTCCGATTTCCTTTTTGCTTCCATCTCTCTACCTCTCTTTTCGCTGTCCTTTTTCTGCTCTCCTCGATTCACTTCTATTCCTTCTTCAAACCCCTCTCCCGCTCCGCGAACCTCTCCTTCCGACGCCCCTCCCCCCCATTGTCTGGCCGGTCCCCATTGTCCATTCCCTGTCCCCTCTGCTTCCAGTCCCTCTAACCTCCTCCCCCATTGTTCCATCCCTTCGTCTCCGGTCCCCGCCCCAGCCCCGCTAGCCCCTCACATCTCTAGTCCCCGTCTCACTACCCCTCCTCTCGCCTTGGTTTGGTCGCACGACTCCCCAGAGACCTTGATGCCGAGGCGGAAAGACCCTCGGGATCCCAGCATTCAAGTGACTTCTTCCAAAGAACCCAGACATCCGAGAGCCCCATGACTTCCTCCTGAGAGACCCCTCCCAGCTCCCTCAACACCCCCCCACACACACACCGCCCACGGTACCCGAGGACCGGCATCCGTGCGCGGGTCTTGCCCTGGGACTCAGGGTCGCCTCTACACTCAGAAGCCATGGGTCCCGGCTTCGGAGCTCCTCCCCCGCCTCCCACTCCCAGCATCTGGGACTCTAAGGTTCTGTTCTGTATCCTGGGTGGTGGCGCATGGCTCCCCTTGGGGTTCCGATGCGGGGAAAGGGAGTTGGCTTCCCTCCGACGCACTCACCCCTAGGAGCAGCAGCAGCAGCAGGCGCGGCCAGTCCATGGTGCGGCCGGCAGCACCTGCCTCCATCACCGCCTTTCGGCGGCAGCGTTAGGCTAGCAGCTCAGTTCGCGCTAGCGGATAGGGCTGAGCTGAGCTGCGCTGCGCTCCTGGGCCCGCCGCCTGCCGGAGCTGGACGAGGCTCTACTCGCTCTGGCTGCGAGCGGGAGCCGCTTGGTGAAGCCAATGCCGCGGCCCCGCCTCCTCCCCGCCCAGCCCGCCCACCCCCGGAACCGCGCCCGCCCGCCCAGCAGCCTCCGGGTGGGGAGCCTAGAGGAGGGGAGGGGAGGCTTGCGGAGAACCGCGCCCGCGAGCCCCGCTGCTGCTTCTCCGCGCCCCGGCCCACTTCACCCGGGCGTTCAGTGCCGGGGGTGGGCTACTGAGCATGGGTCTCGGACTCTGTGGGCCCAGGGGCCAGGGCGTCCCCAGTGCGGCTCACATTCCTCTCCCTCTGGCTGCGGCCCGCCGCAGGGTTCACTCTCTTACACGTCTCTCCATCTCTGACTTCAGTTTATTCCCGGGTGCCTGGTTCCCTACACAGCCGTCATCAGCAAGAATGTCCACTGACCTCCCTGCCCTTCACATCCAGGTCCACTCTCTACCACGCCCCTCCCATCCCCTTCCCAGGGCAGGGATCTCTGGGCAAAGGCCAAGAGGGAGGGAGGGATGCAGGTGGCCTGACCAGATGATGCGGGGACATTCAAGCTGGAGTCCATCCCAACATCATTTGAATTCTCAAATGATGGGTTTGAAGGGGTCACAGGTGTGCACACAAAATCCAGCAGTATGCACACACTCTCATGCTCACCTGCATATGTGCTATGCACTCACATATGCCCACACTATCCTCATGCACACCTGTAAACCTGCATGTCCTTCATGGGCACCTCCACAGGCATACAGATATGCACGTGTGATGTGTCATTCACATATCTACACACATGTGCACATGTCACATCCACATGAGGTCTCACGTGTACAGTCACATAAGTACACATACATTCATAAACACACCTATACATAATAAACAAATAGATGTATTCTCAATAACAGTCTTCACTAGACTGTTTCCAAGAGTTTTATAAGCTTCCTGTGGGCAGGAACTGTCTTCTTATCTGAAAGCCTGGTACACAGTAGGTGTTCAGTAGTGTTGTGTAGAATGGAATCAATGGGAAAGTGGTTGAATGCATTTATGTCCATGTGCTATGTAGGTATCCCTAGCATTACCCTTGTAATGCTCTAGAAATCTTGGTAGGTTAAATGACATGTCCAGCCAACCTAGTGAGTGTGCCACCAATCTTTTGTGGAAAGCACCCTACCCCCAGAAAGGCACCCTTTGCCTGTTCCCACCCTTTCCTGGTTCTGCCATCAAGGCCCTGAAGCACAGAGCTGGTGGGGTAGGGGGTTTGCAAAGCCCCTACCAAATGATAGAACAAGGGGAAGACCAAGAGCATTTGCAAAGTGGGCCTGCTAGCCATTGGGAGGTGACTTCCTAGATCAGCGGAAGCTATTCATCCACAGGGCCAGGAAGCAGGACTCTGTCTCTTGAATTTTCCATGTGTAACCAGTGAAGTTGAAGGGAAAACACAGGTAGACATCGTTGTGGCTTTGAACGTTCATGTTCACAAGCCGCCATGGCTGGGCAAAAGAGGCCAGGCAGTGAGCACCTCTTCAGAAGTCTCTGAGGATGCCCTCCTCCCGGATGGGGAACTCTTCTAAATGTCTCCTCCTCCCACTGCTTTTATGGACCTGCTTTCCTCTCAGCTGAGTTCATGGAAGGCAGGAAGGGGCAACATTAGTACTAACAGCAGCATTAAGCTGCTTACTACCATGGGTATTGACAGTGTGGCATTAATTTAAATACTCCTGTTATTAATTTATGATCCCAGTTACTATTATTGCCAAGGTTATCCATCTCAACACAATTTAATATGACCCACACCACTATGGCTGGGCCTGGGTTATTAATAATTTCCATGGTCTTGATCATTTAAGCTTTACTTGAACAATTACAAACAGCAATTGTTACTATTATTAGCAATATTTCTATGATTAAGCCAGAGCATAAGACTGAGATGTACTGTTGAGCACTGGTGGGGAGAGTGGCTGGGAAGTGTGTCGAGGAAAGAGCCCTACATTGGAGACCCACAGGCCTCCATAACTTATCCCTGTGTGGTCGTAGGCAGGTGATATCATCTCTCTGGCCTCAGTTTTCTCATCTAGGAGATGAGGATCGTGAAATGGGATGGTAGGCGTCAAATGAGGTAATATAGTGTTCATCGTGGAAGTGACTCAATCCCTTCTTCATTCCACGTGCATGTATTGAGCACCTACTATAGGCCCCGCAATCTTCTAGACACTGGGGATTTAGTGGTGATGAAAAGCAGCTGCCCACGTGGAGCTGATGTCCTGGTGTGTTATTTAATGTGAGGGTTATTTTTAATGGGGCACTTTGTCTTGATTGTAGCATAGCTGTGATCAGGATATGCTTTTTCTGGGACACCCATGTCACCATGACCATGACCTCCTATACTGAAACCAGCATCTCTATGACAACCGTCATCATAATTACTATCATTACTACCACTGTCACCATCACAGTCACCTATATCAACCCCTGCCCCTCCATGGCCACCACCACCCACAATTGCGATGACCATGAGTGCCATCAACATCATCACAACCACCTACCTACACCTACCCCAGCACCACTATGACTACTATCACCGTGCCACCACCCTCAGCATCACTACCAGAATCACCCCAACTACTACTACAACTGCTATGACCATGGTCATACCGTCACTACTCTGACACTTGATCGTTAGTTACTACCATCACCACAATCACCGCCATAATGATGACGACACCTGTTTCCTACATCTGCACCGCCACAAACTACAGGGATTCCTGTTTCTAATGAAAACTGGATGTTTTGGCTCATCCCTTTTCTTGGGATGCATGTTGGAGCCTCACGGAGCCACTGCCTGACGGAGCCTGACTCCCCAGTGTCACGACTTCTGGCTCCAAACAAGTAGTTTTCAAAAATGTCTCCTCTGGCCCAACAAAGGACCCTCTCCTCAGCTCTTTCCCCCCTAATCTTCAGCTTTTGCAGCCACAACTAAGGGATAGGGCAGAGCAAGCAGCCTCTTAGGAGGTAACCAGCAAGTGGGACCAGGCAGGAACACCAAGGGAGCCTAGTTTCCCTGGAGGGTCCCCCAGAACAGACTCCTATAACAGAGCTGCACACAGAGAGGCCCTCTCTCCCCACAAGGGCCCCTCAGTCTTCCTGGACCCACAGGGGCTTTAAGGGAAAAGGGAAGAGAATATCCATGCAGTTCAGCAGGGAGCTGGGAGGGGTCGTGGTGGGTTAGACTACAGCAGTTCAAGTAGGAGGCACAACACCTTCCCTATTCTGCATACCCCACTGTCACCCTGGTACTCCAGGAAGGGAAGCTCCCTAACTCACACTCCCTCTCCTCCCCTTCCATTCCAGCCGCCTCACCTCAGTCCCTAGGCAATGCACAGCTTGCAGCTCCCTGTGCCTGTCACATGTCCCCAGCAGCAACTGGAGAACCAGCCTGCAGCTGCAACCACTTTCCAAGCAGAAATGGAGAAGAGACAAGAGAACTCCTACTTCTAGACCATTCTGTGAGCACAAGATTCACACAACTATCTCCCTCGTCCCCACTGCAATTCCACAAAGGCAGCATTGGGGTCACCATTTTACAGATGAGGAGACTGAGACTTGAAGAGGTTTGCCATCTGCCCAGAAGGAAAACATGGTCCCTGCTTCTGCTGCTGCCCCACTCTTCTATGCATGGCCCTCCAGTGTCCCTTCTCACCAGCACCCCACCATTCCCAAGTGACTCCTGCCCTCCACCCCAGCTCCTTTAGCCTTCTCCCCACTGGACCATGAGCAGTCACTGTGTGGGTCAGGAGAGAGAGAAGCTCATCTCAGAGGGACTGAGCTCCGCCTCCAGCTGCCACTCACAGGTTCCCTTGCACTTGGGGGCCTGGTGGGATGGGTGGAAGCAAGGCAGGAGACTGATCTTTGCCAGCTCTCCCTTCTCCTGCCTTGAGGGGATCACTACTGTCCCCCAATTCCCATGTCCAACCAGAGAGGGAGTGAAGGGAGGGGGGTAAGGTGACAAGGATTTCTAAGGGAGAATAAGAGGGAGAGGGACAGAGGAAGTGCTGGGCCTCCCCAGCTGCCTTCCATCTGCCCTGGGCAGGCGGCCAGGCAAGGTAAGTGAAACCCACTCCCCCTGTCCTCCCCATGAGGAGCCTGCTTGGTGGCTTTGAAGCATGATGCAGAGATTGCTCTGAGCTGCCTCCTTCTGGGCTATAAGGCAGAGGCAGATGTCCAATGAGTGGCCGCGGAGGGGCCAGGGTTGGTTTGGGATCAGCAGGTTTAATTCTGGAGCTGAATTAGTAGTGAGAGGGGTGGGAGGAGTTAGCAATTTTGGAGTTCAGTTAACTTAACTTGAGTGTCAAAGTGGGCCAACTGCGCAGTGCCCTTCTGCACTGTCTGCTCCAGTCTCAGGCCAGTGCCACCTTCCTAGGTCCATTCTGTCCCGCAAGGAGCCCATCCAACCCACATTCCTCGACAACATGTCCTACGTCCATCCTGAAGCTTGCATAACGTACGCCCCCCTGAAATTGACCTCTCTCTTCCAGTGTCATAACAGTAGAATAAGTCAAGGTCTTCCCCTCTACCATTTTTCCTTCAAAGGCCACCTCCTGCCTCCTGCTGTACCCCTGCATACTGCAAAGGAACAGCAAGATCTGATTGAGTCACTCAAATATAGGTGAGAGGGATTCAATTTTCCCCAGACTTGAAGAGGGGGTACCTAGAGTGGGCAGTGCTATCCTGAGGCCTTGAATAGAAAGTTCCAGGGCTTGTGGTAAGGGCACAGGGAAGGGATACAGGGGCCTTGTGGCCCAGACACTCTTTCTTCTCTGAGCACTCATTTCTTCAATAACAGCCCTCTACTAGGGTGTTCCTCCCAACTCTCACCTCTGATCCTTCCCAGCCCCTGAGATCACAGGGTTGCTCCGGAGTTCTGAAGGATTCAGTCCTCTTCCTCGCTTTTTTCCCTACATTCAAGGGCAGGTAAGATGTTTTAAAGACAAACTAGGACTGCCTCATGGT